AAAAAATGAAACTGTTTGCAAAAATGAAAAAAAAACCTTTTCCGGGTGTGGATCCAACACACAACTCCCTGTTTTCGAGACAGCTACTCTACCACTTGAGCTTTTGAGAAATCGTGCGCTGTATACACACCGTCGATTCTAATAGATTTCACTGTTGGGTTTAAGCTGTTTGCCAATCAATATCTTGAGTTTGATATTCTAATGAGTTATGATATTGGAAAATAATTTTCTGCATGTCCATCAATGAGATACTAAAAGTTTTGTGTGACATTATGACTGGTATAAGAAGCCATATTTGTGCTACGGTGTGTGTAAAGTGCACAACATTTCAGTATCTTAAGTGGTAGAGCAACTCTCCACAAGACAGAAAATTGTGCGTTCAATCCACACTTGGGGAAGATTTTTTTTTAATTTTTTTATTAATTCATTTATTTATTTATTTATTTTTTTTTTTTATCCCGGGTTACCACGACAGCCTACTTGGCCTAGTCGCGGCACCCATCTCTAAACCTTTTTCCTCGCATCCTACCTGAATCCATGGGCACAGTGTGAGTTTCTCCGGTGGAACACCTTGCCAGTTAAGCTGACACTCTCTGCACCGATGGTGCATCGGGTCCATTCACCACTGTGTAGCCTTTCCCCGGAGAAGACTCCATTATTTCAGGACGTCCACTCCTCGCCGGTTAAGCTGGCGCTCTCTGCCGAAGCATCGGATCCAGGCTAATTATCATCCCCAGAAAAGCCCCGTGTTTCAAGGGCCACTCCTCGCTGGTAAGGCCGGCGATCCCTGCTCGACGCCTGGCATCAGGTCCCCTAATCCCTACCTATAGCCCTAACACTGTTTCGCATTCACCCAGGCCCGAAAACCTGTGGGGCAAGGAAAAAACCCTGGAATTACTCTGAAGGAAACTTCCACGGAAAAACCAGCCCCGAAACAGCCGGGATTACATAGGAACTTTTCCCGATGAAAACAGTTTTTGAAAATATCTGCATTCACCGGGAATCGAGCCCACGACCCCTAGAACTGCGTTGTATCAGTAACAAGCACGCTTACCACTGAGCCAACGCCGCTCTTAGATTTCTTTTATATTCTTGCGAATAGTTTTTAAACTTATACTTTTCGACTTTTCTATACTTAATGTAAAAGTTTTTCGTCATCAAAAAAGGATATGCATGGACTAAGAGTGCTGTGAATTCAGTTCAACTAAAATTTTTGTGTTTATTTTTATAAGTTTTTTTTTTTACTCTCACACGGAAAAATTTAATTTTTCTAAACCCACAAGTTTTAACCACAACACCGTACTGCCACAGCCACCACTGTTTAGTCAAACACGACTAAATCGAGTACCGCCAAGTGAATGGAGGAGGATCGAAGCTCACAGCACGTTCGTTCTGAACAGCACATTTGTTGGAAATGAGAGCGACCGACAGTAGGCCCGGCTTTTGTGTACATTGTGTACACTAGTAGTCTCTGTCGGCCCAACGCTCTGTGCGCGTGCGCTTGGTCGACTTGGCGCGCTGTAGGTGTGTATGTGCGTATTCACGTGGCAAGCCTTGTATACTGTAAGCGCCAGATTATCCTCAGCTCTCGTCGAAGATAGACTCTCTTAATTGACGTTGCCAAACTCTAGCATTCAAAGGTGCATACATCACCTTAAATGCTAGTGTAAATCTTCAGATTAACTCTCTCAATACAGTGGACAAAACTCAGTTGTGCAGTGCAGTCCACTTAATGCTTTGTTTAAGTTGCTCACTGCATAATCTGCAGACCAGCTCAAATAGTTAATTTCATCGAACTACCAGTGATTATCAACAGCAAGACTTAGTGAAACTCTTGTGTATTTCTACAGACAGTAATTGTGTATTTCTACAGACGGTAATTGTGCATTTCTACAGACAATCGTTTTTCGTTAATCAATATTTCAATCAGTTATATTATTTCAGTGCTTTCATTTTCACATTTATTCGTGTAACTTTCAAACTCTCTTGCGAGCTCAAGGCCAGTGTGTGTTTACATATTATGTTATTCAACTTGACTCTTTTCTTTCTACATTCTTCGCTTTTATATATTTCAATAGTTCATTGCTTTAAGACTATAGACATTATTTCTTTTCTCCTGTATATTTTGACCTTTACTATTTTTGTGAATATTAACTGTGATTTTTCTTGGCCTTTGAGTGACATTAAAAGTTGTTATTTTATGCTGTTTAATTTTATTGTGTTTTATTGTGTCTTCCCAATCACCCTATCCGAGCCTAGTGTGTTCTAACGCACACGCCTCGAACAACATTAAAACCGCGTTACAACTCATTTACTTCACTCACACACTCGTTAAGTGCGTTTCTTATTTCGCTCTAGATTCTTGTTCTCTTTCCACCTTTAAAATCGACTTCTTAGTCTGTCTCGCCTATTTTTAACATTGTTCGCATCCCAATGCCTGGTTGACATTCGAGATGAGTAACACATCTGCTAATCGGTGCGCGTCACAAGAAAAGGGGGTTGAAGAAGAGAGTAAAGGTATTGCCACTCGGGAAATTTGGTAGGCCTCATTCAGTCTGATACTTGCCTCTGTACAGAGCAGTCTTCAATTGTTGTCTGCGAAATCGTGTACGTAGCTTGTCTTGGATAATTTTTGCTCGTTTGAGTTTTTGAGCAGCTTTTATTGTGCCGCAACGCGTTAACGTGTTTTTGCATCAATTCGTCCTTCTGTTCGTCTGAAACTTAAAAAATGCCGCAAGCCGTGTCGACACTCACGTGCTGTAAGCACCCATGATGAACGTCTTTTACTCGCGGAACCATGGTACGAAGACGAGAAGGAGAACTGTGAAGACGCGCACTTACACTCTTACACATTTACATTTCCACATCTGCACACCAATTCAAATCATGTTGTTATTTTCATTCTATTCAATTTTGTATCGGTCGTTTTTCCTTTTAGGGCGTTTTCTCACAAGAGTTTCTTCCTTTGAGTCACAAATTGTATCTTCGTCAGTGGCTCATAAATAGTGTTTTTTTTTATTTAGTTACAACTCTAACGCGTCCTGTCCTTCGTCAATTAACGTAAATGCTGTCAAAACTAATTTTTCTTCATTCATAGTAAAGTAGTTTCATATTTTAGCTGTTAAATAATTGCCTTGTTCTTTCGCATCATTGTGTTATCTTTTTCGCAGTTATTTTGTATTTGCTTCGCGGTTTCCCTAGTTATTATCATTTTAGTTAATCAGATAGCTTCGTTACTTAGACGCAGTCATTAGAGGGTGGCATAAGATCCCTGTACCACAATTCTACCGCCACATAGTAGGTATGCTTTTAGGAAAAATATTTAACGTACAAGCTTTTCAAAGTATAATTAGTATAAAAAATATTGTCATCGTGGATACTGCTTGGCACCAACTGAAAACAAGTAAGATTTTGCGGTCCAACTGGCTGTGTACAATGGTTTTCGTTCTTTTAAAATAGTGTAGAACAGATATCTAGTTTTATTTTTGGCTGTATCTTATTTTATTATTACACCCCTCATATCACCTCTTATATTCAGGATTTAGTTCAACCAATTTTTTTGTATTTATTTTTATTAGTTTTTTTTACTCCCAATCGGAAAAATTTAATTTGCTAAACCCATATGTTTTAATCACAATACCGTACTGCCACAGCCACCGTTGTTTAGTCAAACGCGACTTAATTGAGTACCATCAAGTGAGCGGAGGAGGATCAAAGCTCTCTTTCTATCACTTTTTTCTCTCGCTATCTATCTTTTTCTATGCCCTACTTGAAGCGATTCGTTTTGTTTCTTCCATTCGTCTACGTCTTAACTTTTGCCGACTTGTTATCTCTCTCTCGCTCTCTCTCTTTCTCTCCCTCTCTCTCTTTATCTGAGCCTATCTCTTTCTTCAGCTCTCGCCCATACACACACGCATGCACTTCGCGGTCTCTTGTACATCTTCTCGTCTCGTCCACACACACACACACACACACACACACACACACACACACACACACACACACACACACACAACCTCTCTCTGTCTCTAGCTGGCCTCACCTCCTAGTCAAATGTCAGCGTGTCCAACCGAGCATGATAGCATCTAGTTTCCTGAAACTGGTCGTTTGTCCTACAGTTTTGCCGTCCTTGATGTTGTGGTTTTTAACTTCTTTCAAAAGTCATTTGATTTCTAAAAGTTTATGGTTATTATATGGCTCATCATATGATTTCTATAAAAATTTCAAATTTTTCATAGAAAGTGATAGCCAATTATGTGTTCAAGTAGGTGTCTCACGAATTAAGACGATAAGTTGGATTTAAATGTGAAGTACAGACTTCCACACTATCAAGAGTGCGCCTGAAATATTTACTCTTTTTTCCAGGTTCATAAGATTACTGTTATTATGTATCTTGTATTTAATAACAGTACTTAGCTAAGCAGATTTTGATGATTTTCGGAATGTATTATATTATGTATGTATAATTTATAATAAGTATTTGGTAGAAAACAACCACCACATTTATTTCTGATCTTTCTGTTAAAGTTGTATAATAAATATTTACAACTAGTACTAAATGCAAAACGATTATCATAATGCACACTAAGAAATTGAAAATTAATTTTTTTTTTATTCCTTAACATCCACATTTATTTAACTGAAGTACTCTGGAGTACCAAGTAATCGTTAATTAAAAAGCGGAGAAGCTTTTTAAAAGAAAAGGAAGGCCAAACCACTTTCTAGTATTAATCCTTTACTTTTCAATTGAACCTTGTAGGCTTTTTTACAAAAATAACGAGTATTAGAACTACAAAAAAAATCAGTGCCAATTTTTCTTAAAGTCATATTGTATCACTTGCATTACACATTACATGTTTAATGAATAGAGGAGATTCTAAAAAAATAAAGAATCTCTCTCTATATTTATTAGTAATTAATGAATAATAATCAGCTAACAAAATTTTTCACAGCATTTGTGAAAATTTAAATAAAAATTTTTTTTCGATTTAATGTTTCAGCTACTCCAGATGTAAGTTCTTATCAGTACGATGAAACATCTGGATATTATTACGACTCAAGTACTGGACTCTACTTTGATCCAAATTCACAGTATTATTATAACAGCCACACTCGACAATTTCTGTATTGGGATGGTGATACATTTTCATACAAGCCCGCACAGCATGAATCTTCTGTAATAAGTCAAGATCCGACAGCAACAGCAATAAGTACATCGCTAGAGGAATGTGTTAATGTAAATATGCAAATTCCTATAGAACTTGTTATTAATGATGAAAGTAAAAAAAAAGAAGTCAAACAAGATAAAGTTAAAGTAGCCAAAAAAATTGCCAAAGATATGGAACGCTGGGCAAAAACATTAAATCAAAAAAAAGAAAGTGCTAAATGCAACTTTAATTCTGAGTATCCTGGAAATGAACCTCAGTACCAAAACTCTATTTGTGGAGCAGCAGATGCTGGCTATGCTATCCTTGAAAAAAAAAGCAGTAGTAGTCTAACATCCGTAGTGTATGTCGAAGAAGATGATCTCACAGCTGGTAATGGATTAGTTGCAGCATATGGTGGTGGTAGTGACACTGATGAAGAAATAGAAGATGTGCAACAAGAGGATAAGCGTCACACTGATTGGAGCAAACTTGCGTGTTTACTTTGCAAAAGGTTGTTTCCTAGCAAAGAAGCCTTAATACGTCATCAACAGCTTTCTGATTTGCACAAACAAAATCTAGTGAGTTGGTATCAAGTGCGGGGTCTTGACCCTAACGATCCTCAACAGCGTAATAATAAATACCGAGATCGTGCAAAAGAACGAAGAGCTAAATATGGAGAACCTGAACCTCTTCAACCTAATAAACTGAAAGAAAAGTACTTGAAAACTAAGACCGAAGAAGCTTATGAAGAACCAACAAAAACAGGCATTGGTTCCGATAATGTTGGCAATAAGTTACTACAAAAAATGGGCTGGATCGAAGGCATGGGTCTTGGTAAATCAAATCAAGGTCGAACGAGTATCATAGAGACCGAGCGTCGAGTCCCTGCAGCAGGTTTAGGAGCGAAATCCTCGTCTTACAATGCATTACCTGGTGATACATACAAAGACTGTGTTAAAAAAATGATGTATGCGCGATACCAAGAGCTATCTGACTCATAGAATTTTTGGTTATGTCAACTCTATTTATGCAGTTTTAATTAATCTTGAACATCACTTTTTTAACCCCTTGTACAATAAAGCCGTATACAACTAAAAAAATATTTTTTTAAAAGAAACAAATAAAAGTGTTTGGGTATAAAGTACTAAAGTAATAAAATGAGTTAAAATTTTCAATCATCTTTACATAGTATTGAGCATAGTATTGAGTTTTAAAATGAAAGATGTGTAAATAGCTATTTAATAGAATATATCAGACATTACTAAATTTCATCTCATTATAGAAAAAAGTATTACTAATTTATCTTAAACGCATAAAATTTTGTTTGTTTGTTGCTACATAATTTTAGTTAATTTTCTCATTTTTTTGCATGTAAAAAATTATTAGTCTCTTGAGAAACAACTTTTGAAAACATCAGTTTTCAGGTACGTATTGCTATACAGTCTTAAATAATGATCAACAAATTATTACTATAAGACTTAAGTTAATAAATACCGTTACAAAGTCTGATTTTCATGCAAAATTAGTAAACCATCATTTGATTTTAATAATAAACTTAAGTATTTTCATCAATTCAAACCTGGTCGATGTATGAAATATTTTTGCAGTAGAAAAAAAAATATCAGAAATTTTTGTTGTAATCTCACCAAATAAAAAACGAATTTATCTAACTTACATTTTTAGAATAAGTTTGTCTGACAAAATCATCAGCTTCACAGAAGTCAGCAGGAGTATGGCTATCAGTAAAAAAATTGTTTTGACCGAGTGAAAAAAGATAACTAGATATTTTACAATAAAACGCCGAGAATTAATATAGAAAAAGTTTTTTTACGATACAGTTTTCGAACTCAACGCCTAAAAGTAGTTGATAAATTTTACTAGTAATAAATGTATCAACTAATTATTACAATTATAGCTAACACCAAATTTCGATTGATAACTTAAACCAATAATTATGTTTCTCTTTATTTAGTAGTTAAAGAGATTTTTTGCGTCCAAATAATGCAGAAATGTTATTAACAAAGTGTTATTTATGATGACTAGTATTATTTTTGAACACAGATTTTTTTTAATAACGCACTGAGAACACCTTAAAAAAATGCTTCTCTAAAAAAAAGTTCATATAACTACTTTCAAAATTATAGTTGGTGAGTTTAACCAGGCTAATATTTCTTCTACTTTAATTTTTAAAGAGTACATATTTTTTTGACCATTTAATTTAGCTCTATACATTCCATCAAAGTAGAAATAATCGCAAAACAAGAGGTTGTTTCAAAAACAATATCTATATACATTTACTAGCTACTTACTACAAGCTTATCACATTATCATATGATAGCTCAAAAAATTAACTGGGATTATTTTCCTTCCTTTTTGTTATTTTAGAAAATTTAACGCATTCTATCAATACAGAAAAGTTATAAACATGCATTTCTTTATGATAAAATCTGCAAAATAGCTAAAAAATAATTGTAACCAAAAAAATCCTTATAACTCTGCTTAAAATGATAATTAATGAGTTCATTCGGACTTTTATTTGATTAATGTTTGAAAAAAATTACTGCATCTTCTTGCAGCAAGAAAGTTAGGAACAAATACTTCTTTAGAATGAAATATCGTGAACAGCTGAAAAAGATGTGTTTCGTAATGAAGTCTACAAATTTACTCTAAAAAATTATTGATGAGTTTAACTGGACCTACATTGCTTTATTTTTAACATTTAAAATAAAGGCAAGATTCGCTTTATTCCCTTAGATAAAGCTCGGACAAACATTCATTCGTAATAAAGCGCTGAAAACATCTAAGTAAAATGTTTTTTAAAAACTAATATGAAATACATCAAATTAACGCAGAAAATCAATTATTATTTATAATAAGCATCTATCCTTCATGTAAAAAAAGCATTTGTTTGTGTGGTCCCAAAACTCTAAACATTATTGAACAAATCGATCTCAAATTTTAAAGTAAGGTTAATTTCAAGTTCTAATGTGTTTCTCAAGGGCTACTAAAATTATCAGTAACTTCGTAAAAGTTCTTATGCTACTTACAAACATCTTACTGCTAAACAGCTTGGCCAGGGCGTTTTACCTTTCGACCGCTAGGGCAAGTGGTTGTTTCCCAAAGTTACTTAACGTCAAGTAAACCGCACCCGCAATCAATTTTATGACATTGCGTTCACGAGTGAAAGTTTTCAGACTGTTTAATACCATGCAATGCATTTGGATCAGCATATGTTAAAATAATGGGGATGCAATACCTCAATAAATTTTTATAATTTTTAGTATTTTTCCAATTTGGCAGAAGATTAGTCACAACATCTAAATGTTCTTATGTGTTGTGGGCTATATACCTAAGAGCTGTAAGGTGTCACGCATGATACAAGACAAAAGTTCGTGCTAGTATAGTATATAGTATGTCTTGATAACGAAAAATAGAAAAAAACAAATTATTAACCAAAGTTAAATTTTAAGTTCTGCTTGTTATTATTGTGCACGTAACTAAAGTTTTTCCATGTACCTCCATTAACTATCATAGCTATTAGAATGTTCAAAAACTATGATAATTGATTTGCAAAGTACGTGCCAAGGGAGCCGGGGACAAGGCCACATGGAAATCTGCGTACGTATGATTATCACTACTGCTTCTACTTGCAGAGTCCACTTCGGTATAACTGACTCGTACTCGTATTACTGCAACAATCTGATTTTAAAATTGACATCCTCATGCACATTATGAATGTCGTTACTATCAATCAAAAGCCTTTTTACGTACGTTATCTAGTAAGCAGCTGATGAACCATTATTTAAATAAAAGTTATTTGTACAAAATGCAAAAGATTTTTCCCCTTTTAAATATTTTTATTAAAGCATTGTACACATAAATTTTTCTTTAAGCTTAACGAAAATGGAAGTGTCTGAGTTAGTTTGAAAAATTCAATACCTATCGAATAATAACCAAGGCACAAATCTTACTTTACTGTCATCACGTACACAACTATAGTCGATAGAGATTTTTTGTAATGCTCAGCAAGTTCTTGCTCAAATTTGTGATAAAAATATTATCCTTGTACCTCGATCATAATCCTCTCACTATACGTTAGGCTTGTTAGTAACCTACACCTCTCGTGCCATCCTGAAGTCAGGACACGATTCGCAGATCACTGGATAGAAAGAGTCATCTTTAGGTACTACGTGACATTACAGCTACCAGCATCCGGAGCACAATAGCCCCTGACGTCACTGCTCGAGTCTTGAAAGGGATGTCTGATCTGCTTTCAGCAATACAATAGTATACATGTTTTCTCTGACAACTTGCATCACTCGATACGCCTGCTCTCTAGAACAAAAGTATCACGCTGGTATATTATTCGCCTAAATAAGAATCGAAAAGTTATCTACCATGAGTAGTGCATCTATGTAGATGAAAAATAATACAACCATTACTTAAAAAGATCCTGCGTCAAAATGAATGAGCCAGTCTTGGTTGAATTTAAAGGATGGCCGCCATATTGCATGCGCCATTTTGTTTTTGACAGTTTAACTCTTGATTTACAACTAGCGACTTCATAAACATGGGTATACATACCCAACTCATGGCACATTACGTCACTATGGTACAAAGAACAAACATGAGCGCCCGAAGGGCGCGGTTGTTGTATGTTTGCGTCTGAGTCACTTGTAATGTTTTTCTTACCGAGGGCGCAAAGTGCAACTTTGCGCCCGTGGGCACACTTTGTGCCTAGTAAATTACTTTGGGCCCTAGGGTAGAAATGGTAGTTTTCCTACGAGTTTGAAAAGTCTCTGTTTGCGAACCGAGACGTTTGTGGCCCGAGCCGAAGGCGAGGGACATAACGAGGTTCGTAGAAGAGACTTTTCGAACGAGTTCCGGAAAACTGCTTTTTCGCCCGAGGAAATACCAGCCTCCCAAAACCACCTGAGGGCGGAAAATATCGCCTTCGGCTCGGGCCGCAAACGTCTCGGCTCGCAAACAGAGACTTTTCAAACTCGTAGGAAAACTACCATTTCCGCCCTCGGGTGGTTTTGGGAGGCTGGTACTTCCTCGGGCGAAAAAACAGTTTTCCGCCCTCGGGTGGTTTTGGGAGGCTGGTACTTCCTCGGGCGAAAAAGCAGTTTTCCGGAACTCGTTCGAAAAGTCTCCTTTACGAACCTCGTTACGTCCCTCGCCTTCGGCTTAATTCGCAAACCTCTCGGTTCGCAAACAGAGACTTTTCAAACTCTTAGGAAAACTACCATATTTTTAATAGCCAACGCAATTAAGTTTCCTTTTGGATTGAAAATCTTTGACGTATTTCTACTGATAAAATCTTATTTGCTTTTGTTACTTTACCGCAACTTATTAAATTTCCATCCATATCTTTAACAAAAAAAATTTTTTTATTATATTTGTTTTACTCCGACCGTAAACATTAAACTTGTGCCTGATGTTACCAACTTTTGTTGCTCTTAAAGAACGATCATCACCTACTTTTACATTTATAGGCACTTCCAATTTATTACATGATCTGAGCAACCGCTATCGAATAACCATTCAACTTATCTAGCACAGCTGTTTACTTCAACTCGCAACTTATAAGGTCTCTCCTCGAATTACGCATTAAAACTACTCACATTACCGTCTTCATTTTAATGCCCTTGATTATTTTGCTGCCAACCGCCTCCTCGACGATGTTGACTAGAGCCTCTACACGGAGGGAAAAGTCATGCATATTTCTCATGGCGCATGTGCAAATAATCCACAGTAAGAGGGCACTGGCGTTGCAGGCATCAAGCCTATGCTTTCGTCTCAATCCAATCGATGCCGCGTTCACGTGAACTGTAACCGTGGATTACGGTCATCAAACTGTTGGTACGTTCTCATGTTATCTACAGCCTATATCCATAGTGTACCGTGTCCCGAACACATGGACTGTAGCCGAGGATAATACGCACGAACCGGCATGGTACACTCATATGTAGTATATAGCCCTACTGCATAGCATTCCATGCTCTAAACGCATGAGCTGCAGCCGTGGAAAAATCCTACGTAGGCAATGGTTTTTTTCCATTGCCCTCTTGCGTTTTCTTACTGCTCTCCTTATTTATATATAAGGAAACTTATTGCTCAGAC